AGCTGCGTAGGTAAAAATGAGATTCTGTGTGCACTAAAAACGTACCGTAAGGAGCATCTAGGACGGCCACATGAGGCCCATCGGCCACCAGCATCCTGCCCACCAAGGCTCACATTACCCAGGAGAATGAGTGCTTCTGTTCCCAGTCTAGTGGTTGGGGTGCTCATCCATGCACTGGGCTGAAGAAAGGGGGTTGAACCTTGGCAGAGGCTAGGCAGAACTGAGAGAGGCCCAAAGACCCCCGGTTCAGATGACGATTTCTCCTCGTGGCACACTCTTCTAGACACTGTATATATACAGTAGTAAACTAAAGAAAGAGGGTCCTTTGCTTTTAGAATCCTTGTGGAGGCGGGCAGTTAATGAGTACACAGACAAATCAACTTGAGAAGATCAGAAGACTAGAGCAAAGAAAAATAGGGTAATGAGAAAGGAACACAGGATGCCACTTTAGATGAGATGGCCAGAGGAGATTCTCACGGATGACAACTGAGCCAGGTATGATGGCTGAGAAGGAGTCAGTTATTCCCGGCAAAAGGGATACCAAGCACCCAGGTCCTGAGGTGGGCACGTTCAAGGAATAGGAAAACTCCTCTACTAGACATGTGCTAGGGTCATGTTACCTTTAAGCAATGAAAACCTGACTTTAGAAATATAGAATATCAAACTGGAAGAAGCTCTGAGGTCACTTGGGGGTATGCCCTCAACTTCCAGAGCAGCTCCATTGACCCACACAGCTGGGGCCGGCCGTGAAATGAGGCCTCCGGTCTCCGGTCTTCGTCTTCCTGCAAGACCATTGCCTCCCTAAGTTGATGTGTGTTAAATCACGTTCTCCCTCGACCCTGGAAGCCTGTCCACAAAGGGATCATCTCTGCTAACTCGTCCTTTTGACATGAACATGGTCAGAATTCTAACCAGCCCCCACTTTAGAACATATAAAAAAATCAATACTTTTTCCTTGTGTGTACTTGTCACTTTTCAGAATTTAAAAGGACACAAATACAAAGATAACAAATTCTAAAGCCTAGTATTTAGCAGCACTAAATTACACCTGATAGTGAGCCATCTGCCATGATATGTTGTTGTCTCATAGAAACGAGAAATGCATGTCCTGGATAGCATTACATTACTCCAAACTGAGGCTATTCAGTTTAATTTTGGATTGTTGTTGCTATAAAAGGAAAGTATGTAACCTATTAGGTACTCACAAAAGTTTCACTGGAGAAAATATTATTCAATAACCCCAAACGGGAACATTTTCTTCTGTAGGAACTTGGCCCAGAGTATGTAGAACTGCATCTAGAGAATATACAGCTCTATTTATCATCTTGCAAACTTCTTCATTATGTCAAAACTAAATCTCAGCTGCGCCCTGACTGCAAAGCAAAAACAATAAGGCTATTTTAGCCATCTCAACAAGAATATTTTGAGAATTAATCGATTTTCCAGGAATGTTAAACAGTTTTATCAATTTTTGGTCAAGGTTCATAGTTATTATATTACATTATCAGCCTTAAATGTATGTTTGTCTAAAAAAATTTATGGTTTTTCTTTTTGCTTCACAAAGAGGAAAAACAATCTTCTAGAATATCCACAATAACCAAAGTTTTAAGCTGTGCTTCAGTCCCAACAATTTAGTTTTCATTAGTCTCGATTCCCATTCTACGCTGAACTCAAAGGCAGCTTTCCCGTGGGCATGGCCTGAGCTTCTGAGGTTCAGGCCACGGTTAGAGCTTTCTCTTCTTAAGCTTCTTTCTCAACACTGACAAGTTTTCTCACGCTACAGGAAGAGTCCAGCTAAGAATCCTAAAGTACTTCCTCTGTGATACTTGACATTTTAAGGCTTATTCCAGCCCTTCTTAGACAAGCACCTGTTTTTTGGTGTTTTTTAATTAATTTATTTTTTATTGTTGACCTATTACAGATGTCCCCCATTCTTCCCCTTTTGTCCCCCTCCACCCAGCCCCTGCCCTACTCCAGGCTTTCCCCACACTTTTGTCTGTGTCCATGGGCTATGCCCATATGCATATAAGTTCTTTGGTTAATCTCTTCCCATCCTCCTCCCCTACTTTCCCTCTGAGATCTGTCAGTCTGTTCCATGCGTCCATGTCTCTGGGCCAATTTTGTTCCTCACTTTATTTTGTTCATTAGATTCCACATATAAGTGAGGTCATGTGATATTTGTCTTTCTCTAACTGGTTTATTTCGCTTAGCATAATAATCTCCAGGTCCATCCATGCTGTCAAAAAGGGTAAGAGATCTTTCTTTTTCACAGACACATAGTATTCCACTGTGCAAATGTACCACAGCTTTTTTATCCACTCATCTACTGATGGGCACTTGGGCTATTTCAAATATTAGCTATTGTAAATTGTGCCGCTAAGAACATATTCTTTCTGAGTGGTGTTTCAGGATTCTTAGGATATATTTCCAGAAGTGGAACACCTGGGTCAAGCGGCAGTTCCATTTTTAATTTTTGAGGAAACTCCATACTGTTTCCCATAGTGGCTGCACCAGTCTGCATTCTGACCAGCAGTGTATGAGGGTTCCCTTTTCTCCACATTCTCACCAGCACTCACTGTTTGTTGATTTGTTTATATTAGCCATTCTGACAGGTCTGAGGTGATACCTCATTGTCATTTTAATTTGCATTTCTCTGATGATTAGTGACATTGAGCATTTTCTCATATGTCTATTAGCCATGTGTATGTCCTTTTTGGAGAAGTGTATATTCAGGTCTTTTTCCCATTTTTTAATCAGTTTTGTGGGGTTTTTTAATAGACACAACTGAGGAACAAACATCCCTGGATAAACAATTTTCTTTTCACTGGTGGCAGATTTCTCAGAGCTTAACTAGAAATCATTCACAATAAAATAAGTCTTGTAGCCAAAAATAAAAACATTTTTAACTTTCATTTTACATATTGAATTTAGAGCTAGAACTTATCTCAAATAGCCTTTGAATATCTACTGAAAATAGACATCCATCTGCATCTATCCTAAATCTGTACTTAAAATAGATTATCTGAGAAAATTTTATGATTCCATAAAAATAATGAGAAAAATATCCCATTTGTTTTCAATTCAAAATGATCCCAAATCAGTTTATTTTATTCATATATTTTATAGTCATATTAACTTCTAATAATCCGAAATTGGAATCTAAAGCCATGGCTAAGGCAAAATATCTCATTTTAGGGGAACCTGTGGTGAACATTAGCTAAATAAGTAGATGAGTGAAGTTGCTGAAAATTTAAAAGCAATTGGGATAAAACTCTAAAAGTGCCGGGGTGATGGTGCTGGGTGTGGGACACACAAGATAGTTTTCATGCTGATGCTCATTTTAGAATTTGCTTTCCTTTGGCAAAGATAGGAAATCCACTTGGGCCCTGGCAGGGTAACTCAGTTGGTTGAAGTGTCAGCCATACACCAAAAGGTTACGGGTTCAATTCTGGTCAAGGCACATGCCTGAGCTTCGGGTTCAATTCCCTGTTGGTAGGTGCACATACGGCAGACAACTGATCAATGTTTCTCACTCACATTGATGTTTCTCTCTCTCTCTCTCTCAAATCAATAAACATATCCCCAGGTGAGGATAAAAAGAAAAAAGAAGAAAAAGAAACCCATTTAAGAATTATTTACCTCTCAGCTTTAAAAAAAAAAAAGTCTGGAAAAGCCCATTAGCAGGCATGAAGAATGCATAGGTTGGTATAATAGTGTATATTAACTATTTTTAAAAAATAAAAGAACACAGGCGTTTTCATGCTCTGGGCCGGGACTGTCTGTGCAGTGAAGCAGAAGGAAGAGAGAGCTATCAAAACAGAACGTACCTCACGTCATTAGCTCAGGGATAGTCTTCTCAGCTTATTTAATTAGTTGAGGAGTAATAGCTACTGTATTTAAACAAACACCAACTCTTTACTTTAAAAATTTAGACAAAAACACAATTTAAGCAGAGATTAAACACTTTACAAAGGTTCCACAATGTGAATCATAAAAATAGCGTGCTCCTCCAGGGAGTGATTTTAAAAAGAATCCCATGTACAAAAAGAAAGAAAGAAAGGAAAAAGAGAAACAACAGGTCAAGATTACAAAGTGAGTTACGGTTGATTTAACATAATAGAACTTTGTTATTGTATGTGGGGGAAGCTGACTGGATTGTTTCTTTAAAAAGGATTTTCTCCTTATTAATAAATATGAAAAATAATTTTAACCTATGGTAGCAAGATTATTCTGCATAAGGTCTTTGGGACCAATACCCCCCCTACCCCCCACTGCCTCAGAGCAACAGGCCCTCAGGTGCCCTCTCATTCTCTCTCCTCCTCGTTACTGCTGGGCCACTGGAAAAGTGATTAGAACTGCTCAGTAGCAGCAAAGGCCGGCGTGTGTGGAGCACTCCCTATGGATATGCAAACAGTTGCAATTATGTTGGGTGGGAAGGACCACCGAATGTGAGGGAGCAGCCAGGCTTTCCAGTGTGGGCCCTTCTGAGTTTTCCACAATTCTGATACAACCCTTGATATCCCAAAGAGAGGCAGGACATTGTCCAAGTAAAACTCCCAGAAGAAATATTAGTGAAATCAATCTCTTCATGGGCTGTGGTCGTCATCCCCAGACCCTCTGCCTTTCTCCAGAAAGTGACACCTATCTGGAATGTAGACATGCAGCCTTCTGGACAGTGCACAAAGCAGGATCGTTTTCTCTGGTTTAGGGTCATGCGGAGGTTATATTAGTCTTTTGAATGAAATCACTATACCAATGTGGGTCCTTTTAGAGTTTGTCATGAACTCATTAGCCAGGATAAATTTAATTTGTAATAAAGCACTTAGGCAGGAACAAATGTCATTTGAAAGCACATATTTATTCACTGAACACATATTCACTGCAGCCCATAGTTCATGGTCAAGCAGAACATAGTTCATTGTCACCTCTATCCCTTCCAAATATAGTATCCATCTTGCGCATCACTTTTATTTGATTATGTTAATAAATAAAATCTTTACTGATGACTCCATGGAAGGGATGGCAGAGTCAGTGCAGAGCTGCAGGGTGCCCAGCACACAGCACTTCCTTGCTTTGGTTCAGTATCTACAACAAGACATTTTAAATTATGAAATAAATCCAAGAGAAACCCTCAAAGAGGTATGAAACCTCAAAAGCTAAGTTGAAGTTACATTCACATGTATTAGGGGATACGGTAACCATTTACTGCCATTATGTGTTGCTGCTGGTTAAATTAGCTACATGACACAATCCCAGTAAAAATACAGTTTATAGGAATGCAATTCTGCTCCTTGCTTGTATTACTTTAGACACATTCTCTCTGTAGTTAGAAACAAGCCATGGCAGCGGTCTAGCCCTGAATTTCTATGCACAGTGAGAAATCAGGTATAACGATGGTCTAGCCCTGAATGTGATCTTAATGTTTTATATTATGGACAAATCATTGACATTTGGCAATAACCCTCTCAGCTGCCCCATTAATATTTTTTAATCCTATCACCTCTCCTGCCTTTACTCTATACTCCAACATAGCCTTTTCCACTGTTTTCTCCCCATTTTCAAAGGATTCCTTTCCTTTTTAAAAAGAGGCTCTATTGGGGAAAAGCATTCTTCATTCCTTTGTTTCCATCCTGCTGTTCTGTTAGCCCCAATGGTTGTTCAGTACCCCTGTCCAACCTCTAAATTAAGTGTTCAGTTTCAAGATCACAGTCTCCCCTTCCCCACACCCCTCTTCCCTCATGGATGGGGGCTGTAGATGTTCCCCAGTCCTTAGCTCTTCGCTCTCTGCTGGGCTCCCCACAAAGCAGCCGTTCACCACAGTCCATCCTTGATTTCTCTTTTTATTAAAGTTTGTGGTGGGCTTATGTCTCTAAATCATTTTTTACCCATTAGAACCGTATACCTTCTCTCCATAGCAAGCAATACTCACTCTTCTCCCATCTTTTGGCACTGATCTTTGTCCCGTAACTCCACTTAGGAGGACAAATATTTTTTTTTTTGTCTGTAGGTAATATATTCCCATATTGTTCTCACAAACCACAGAATGAACTCTCAAGGAAACTTCTGCCCTTCCACCTCCATTCACTGCTAACAAAGCAGTTTACATAAATAAATCAATGAGAGCCACAGCTTAATGAGAGGTCTCTCTCTCTCTCTCTCTCTCTCTCTCTCTCTCTCTCTCTCTCTCTCTCTCTCTCTTTCACACACACACACACACACACACACACACACACACACACATGAGAAATTATTTATGTGATGACCTTTTGCTGACTGCCTATAGGGTATTCAGTACTGGTTTCCAAAGGCTGACCCAGTGATCAGTCTGGGCTCGCTGCTTAAGATTCACCCAGGAGGGTGTCAAACATAAATACTGGTAGGCCCCACCCCTGAGTTTCAGATTCAGTGGGGTTTGAGGGTCTGGGATAAAGAGTGTAAATCAATCTCACAGTTCCAGTAGAAGCCCCATAAGCACATATGTAACAACACAGCGATGCCAAGTTTTTTAACCCATGTGAGTCTTTAGAATTCACACAGTGATTAATATGTTTTGAGAGAAGTATGATAAGACTTCAGTGCAAGTTAAGTCCTGATGGGAGGAAGGATGAAAGCCAAGGTGTGCGCTGGCCTGTCCACTCACTAGCAGCCTCTGACTACATGTCTACAAGGGGAGGTGCAATGCCCCTCCCCCTCGCCTTCCCCGCACCCACCGGAATACATGCCTTGCAGCTCTTCAACAGCACGTGCTTTTAAAGGATCAGTCCTTACAGGATCAGTAATTAATTTAGTTTGCACCTGATTTATGCCCCTTTCAAAAATGAAATAAAACACAAATTATGAAAAGGGGGGTGGGCAGAATGAATACCTCAGTAATTCTCTCTTCCTGAAGCACAAAGAACCATTTCCCTTCCTGAAAACAAAAGTGTGAACGGGATCTAAGGTAAAGCCTCCTTGGACTGTAACTTTGATAAATCTTTGGAGCTTGGAAAGGCATTTTCTGCACACAGGCACAACCTTCCAATGCATCTGCAGTGAAGTTCTCTCCCAACCTAGGACCTTGCTTATTTAACATTAGCAACCCCATTCCAAACAAGAGTTTTCTTACAAAGAAACCACTGGACCACGTCTCCTTCCCTTTAAAGAATTCCCTTCCCTTCTCACTGAGGGCCATTGCTGTCTAATCCATTAACCACTAGCTACATGTGGCTGTTGAGCTTTTGGAAATGTGACTGACCAGTCAGGATTGAGATGTGCTTTAAGTGAAAAATATGCACCAGATTTCAAGGGTTGGTATAAAAAAGAACATAAATTATCTCATTGATAATTTTTATACTGGTTAAGACGTTTCTATGATAACGCATTGGGTAATGAGGCTAAATAAGATATATTGTTAAAATTAATTTTATCTGTTTCCTTTTACTTTTTAAAATGTGGCTCTTAAAAAACTTAACATTACATATGTGTCATGCATTTTATTTCACTTAGCCAGTGTGGTCCTATATGAAGTTCATCTTAAAGCTTGTCACATGTCCCTCAGCACCTTCAATCCCTGCTGCCAGTTCTGTCCACCCACCTCTTATTTTGGCACACCCAGTGGAAATCCTCCCGCCTCACTCTTTCCCACTGTCACTGAAAGTCCACCACAGCTTGAGATGCTTTTGCACACCATCCTATCAATGAATTTCTCCCTTTCTATTTCAATGGATTCTTACTTCTCACCTCTTTCATGAAACCTCACTTTCTTCTTCTTCTTCTTCTTCTTCTTCTTCTTCTTCTTCTTCTTCTTCTTCTTCTTCTTCTTCTTCTTCTTCTTCTTCTTCCTTTTTTTTTTTTTTTTTTTTTTTTAATGAAAACAGCAGAGCTGAGTATTATTCACTTCCTAAACATTCCAGTTTGGCCATAAAATTCATAGGGTGATTACTTCTGACTGTTACCAAATACTCATTTATTCAACAGCATTCACTGGGCACCTCCAGGAGGCCAGGCACTGTGCTAGCCAGGGGGGGTTACCTAATAATGTAAGCACATAGCCCTAAAATAAAGCATGGAGTGACGTCAACAGGAACACATAGACTAATCCAATGCTCTCTTGCCCTCAGACCCAGAAGGACTCTCTACTTGCAAACACCCTTCTCAGGAAGGATTTAAATGCAGCGCTCACATAGCAAAAGTCTTCTGGCTTGGAAACTTGAAACTGCCTGACCCAATATTAAGCATTTCCCCTCTCCCACACTTTATATTCTCCCTTGTGTTTCCCTGACTACCTTATAAACTCGATTTGTCTTCCTTTTCCTTTGCTGAAACAGTATTAAACATTTTATATATATATATATATATATATATATATATATATATATATATATATATATATAATTTCTCACAATAATGTAGATACCGTTGCTGTTCTCATTTAAAGATGAGGAAACTAAGGCACAGGGAAGTTAAGTAACTCTAGAACTTTCTGGCTGCCTGGGTTCAAATCTTGCTTATTTACTTATCAATACTAGAGGCCCGGTGCACAAAAATTTGTGCACTCGGAGGGGAGGGGGGTGTCCCTCAGCCTGGCCTGTGCCCTCTCACAGTCTGGGACCCCTCAGGAGATAACAACCTGCTGGCTTAGGCCTGCTCCCGGGTGGCAGAGGGCAGGCCCAATCCCTAGGTGCAGCCCCTGGTCGGGCTCAGAGCAGGGCTGATTGGGGAGTTGGGGCGCCTTCCTATGTCATGCACAGAGCAGGGCAGATTGGGAGGTTGTGATGCCACCCTCAGTCATGCTCAGGGTAGGGCTGATTGGGGGGTTGGGGCACTGCCCCCTGTCACACTCAAGGCAGGGTCGATGGGGAGGTTGCGGCGCCACCCCCTGTCACGCACAGAGCAGGGTCCATCAAGGGGGGTTGGGGCTCCATACCCTGTCACGCACAGAGCAGGGTCAATCAAGGGGTTGGGGAGCTCCCCCTGTCATGCACAGAGCAGGGCTGATCAGGGGGTTGAGGAGCTCCCCCCTGTCACTCACAGAGTAGGGCCGATAGGAGAGTTGGGGCACCGCCACTGTCACACTCAGGGCAGGGCCATTGGGGAGGTTATGGCTCTACCCCATCACACACAGAGCAGGGCCCGTGGGGGAGGGGGGGGTTGGGGCGCCACCCTCTATCACCCACAGAGCAGGGCTGATCAGGGGGTTGAGGCGCCGCACCCTGTCACACACAGAGCCGCAGGGCGATCAGGGGGTTGGGGTGCTGCCCCCTGTCACGCTGATCCCAGTGCCGGGAGACATATTACCCTTTTACTATATAGGATAGAGGCCTGGTGCATCGATGGGGCTGGCTGCTTTGCCCTGAAGGGTGTCGTGGATCAGGGTGGGGGTCCCCACTGGGGTGCCTGGCCAGCCTGGGTGAGGGGATGATGGCTGTTTGCAGCTGTTCACACACCCTTCAGGGTGGGGCTCCCCACTGGGGTGCCTGGCCAGTCTGGATGAGGGGCTGAGGGCTGATTTCAGGCCAACTGAAGCTCCCAACTGCTCCTTTTTTTCTTTTTTTTTATTCTGGGCCAGCTTTAGCTCTGGCTGCAGCTCTGAGGCTTCTGCTGGTGAAAGAAGGTATCTGGTTTGTTTCTGTTCTATAGTCGAAACACTGTATAACTCCAGCTCTAAGATCCCAGCCTCACTGAAAGCAGGTTTCTGGGGTTTTGTTTAGCTTCTATATTCGTTACAATGTTTCTTAAACTGCAGGCTCAGAGGCCGGCAAAGCAGGCGGGGAGCATTGGTTTCCTTCATCACTGAAGCAAGCAAGCCTCATGTTAGTTTCAAGCTGTCTGGCTGCCGGCCGCCATCTTGGCTGGAAGTTAATTTGCATATCTTGCTGATTAGCCAATGGGAAGGGTAGCAGTCGTACGCCAATTACCATGTTTCTCTTTTATTAGATAGGATAGCCCCAGGTAAGTTACTTAGCTCGCCTAAAATGAAGCCTGCAGAGAAAAAGAAAATCTGAAAGGAGAGGCGGAGGGAGGAAGAGACCAAGAGTGAGCGACTGAGAGAATGAGAGGCGATATGAGAGATATGAGATATTACTGATTATTTTGTCTAAATTCTTGGAGAATACAAAGCCAGAAGCTACCTTTGGTCTTCCCAGTTATACACGTAAATAGGGTCTTTTGTCCTTTGTAGATATTGGTTCTTAACTAGAGGGTTGTGGACCCTGAGAAAGAACATACCTACTAAAAAGCGCTTCTGGTGGCTAATTGGACTAAAAAAAAAAAAGTAAAATAAAACAAAAACAGAGCCTAGCAGCCATTTCTGCACAGGGGTCTCTGATGCACCCTGCCCTTCAGGGAGAAGCCTGCACTGAACTACCTACCTCTGTGCTGAACTGCCTGCCTGCACTCTGCTTCTGCCACCTGAGCCAGGCCTTTAAAAGGAGTTCCTGGAGTCCTATTTTAACAAATGAGACTGAGGTTTTTCTTATACAACAGCTACATCCCCATCAACATCTTTACTCACCAGAGGGGCTCCATTCTGACCAATCAGGACAGTGCTTTTTAGGCCAATCAAACTGTGAGGATTTGGAGTCTTCATTTGCATGAGGATGGACCAATCAAGGATCAGGGGTGGGGACTTCTCTCAATATAAGTCAGCTCCCCTTGGTCTCTGAAAGTGCACTTTCCCTTTCCACCAAAGGCTGAGTTTCCCTAACTGAGCTGAAACACTAGAGCAGAGTGAACTGGCACAGAGCTGAGCAGACCAGTGAGGTCTAGCCAGAGAGGGGCTTGGCCCCAGGGCTGCCTCACAGCCGGGCTGCGCTCACAGCTGTGTTGTATCACAATTGAGCAGTTTTGCACTGAATAAAGTTTCCTTCTTTACCACATCCCAAATTGTAGATTCCTGTTGGTATGGAATTGGCATCTATCACTATCAGTTGACAGGTTCTACCCACAATTGTACACAAAGTTCTCTGTGCATGAACAGGACTACAAAACAGTGTATACGCATGTCTCTGTGGAGAACCTCAGAGGAGACTGAGTCTACCTAACTGCCATGTGTACAGCATTGTAGCCAAATCTCCTCTGCCAAAATCTGGAGAGGACACTTAGAACAAGACAACTTTCATAAGGCTAGCTGATGCTTACCTTAGGTGTGTTCCAGGAGCTACACTTACACGGAGCAGAAAAGCTATTTCCTATATAAAACCAAGTGCCACATTGCCTAAAATATCTCCATAAAAGGTTTATTGATTATAACTTCTAATCAACTCTTAAAATGCCAAGCAAGTTCCTGTTTAAGCATGATGAATTGAAAATGCATGCTTGCAATGTAAATGCCCATCAATGAATGAAAAGGAAAATGTGACACACACACACGCACACATATATACAACTGAGTGGCCAGATTATTATGACCACCTGACATTTGTAGGCAAATTAGCTATCATTTCTCGCTGAAGTTGCTAGAGGGCCAGACCATTATAAATAGGGAAGCAGGTTGTTTACCACAACAGTAGAAGTGATATTTTTCTGAAGATATGCGTAAACAATGCAATTTAACAGTCTTTGAACGTGGGATACACACACACACACACACACACACACACACACACACACATACTGAGTGGCCAGATTATTATGACCACCTGACATTTGTAGGCAAATTAGCCGTACACTGCATCATATGGGATATGGAAGCAAAGGCCTGTTTGAACACCTTTGCTGCCTGCAATTACCAAGATAAAACGTCTCCAATTCGCACAAGAACACAAAGATTGGACAGTCCAGCATTGGAAAAAAGTCATGTGGTCCGATGAATCATATTTCCAGTTGCATCATGCAGATGGCAGAGTGAGAATTTGGCGGAAGCAGCTTGAAAGCATGTACCCCACATGTATGAGTACAACCTTTCAACCTGGTGGGGGCAGTTTTATGGTTTGGGGCATGTTTTCCTGGCATGATTTGGACCCTTAAATTCATGTGGAACAACGTCTGAATAGCACAACATACCTAAGTATTGTTGCTGATCAGGTTCATCCTATCATGCTGATGCCATATCCCAATGGAGATGGCTTCTTCCAACAAGACAATGAGCCATGCCACAGTGCTCATATTGTGCAGGAGTGGTTTCAAGAACATGAGGGAGACTTTACCTTGCTTAGGTGGCCCCCACAATAATCAGATCTCAATCCTCAATCCAATTGAGCATTTGTGGGACGAAGTTAAAAGAGCCATCAGGCAGCTGGTTCCACAACCATCAAATCTCACAGAACCGGACAGTGCTATTCATCAGGCATGGCGTCAGATTCCTCGCATCAACTTTCAACATCTCATGGAGTCAATGCCAAGAAGAATCACTCCAGTATTGAAGGCAAAAGGTGGCCCAACGAAGTACTGATGGGGTGGTCATAATAATCTGGCCATTCAGTGTAGATGTATAATGGAATATCATTCAGCCATAAAAAGGAGGAAATCTTGCCATTTGTGACAACATGAAAGATGAATGGAGCTTGAGGGCATTATGCTAAGTAAAATAAGTCAGACAAAGACAGGATAAATGGTGAAGATATTAAGAAAACACACACACACACAAAACCCACAAACTCATAGAAACAGACAAAAGTATGGTGGTTATCAGAGGGGAGGGTGGTCAAAGAGAGTAAAGGGGAATAAATAAAAAGGAGAATTGACTATCCAATAATAGTATAGATGCTGTATTAGAGAATTGTCCACCTGTAATCTATATAATTGTATTAACCAGTATCACCTCAATAATTCCAATAAAAAAAAATTTAAAAAGACAAACACCATGTGATCTCACTTATAAGTGGACTCTAAAACACAAACA